TAAGCTGCAAAATTGTCCATTAAATCGAGCTACTACAAAAGACGGTGTTAGGAAAAAGATGTCATACCTATTGTCAACTTTGCAACTCTCCTCCAAAATTAATATCCCCTTAGGCAGTAGTGTTCAATATTATTATGTCCTTTCTACTTGCAATTGTTACTAGTAATTTTCTTCCAATTAGCTTAAAATTCATCTTTCACTGATTTCAGAACTATGATATCAATTAGTTACATTACAAATTAATAAACTACTTATGCTATTAGTTATCAAATTCTTAGTTATCTTGCCAAATAACTTAATAATATCAACAACAAGATTCTACATATGTTTACTGAGTAAGGCACCAGATAGCGCATGAGGATTAAAAAATCTTTATGAGATCATTGGGAGAGGTTAATTCTGTAATGATTTTAACATTCTCTAATTATGTGAGAAATCGCCTTTACCATCAACTCAGTTGACGAAGACATCGAATGCTTCAAAAATTGGTATAGCGAATTAAAGTCACTTGTTTTAACAATTACAGCATTTTAAAAGATCTTTTAAAATTATTCAATCACCCAAACTACTTGATATCTCGAGATTACTTATAAAGTGAGCTTAGCCTCGTGAAAATGGCGTAAAAAAGAGCGAGCTCCCTCAACCCCGCTTTCAAATTGTTTAGTTACCTCTAAGTAGGGGTGTTCAGAAAAATCCGAAAACCCGAACCAAACCGAAAACCAAATCAAATCGATAAAAAAAAGGATACTTTTTGGTTTTGAAATTTAAAAACCGATCAAATTTGGTTTGGTTTTGGTTTTAATTAAAAAAAACCGAACCAAACCGAAAACCAAATCAAATCGATAAAAAAAAGGATACTTTTTGGTTTTGAAATTTAAAAACCGATCAAATTTGGTTTGGTTTTGGTTTTAATTAAAAAAAACCGAACCAAACCGAATATAGGAGTAACTATTTTAAATTTATTGTTACACCTATATATGTGTATACTTTTATATAAAGTTTTAAAATTTTTATAGTAAATATTAATCATTTACACTTTTAGTACAGTTCTTTACCTTTACATTCTAGTTTAATTGGTAGTTTTCTTTTGTTAAGTGTAAGAATCTATTTCATGTTAAAAATAATATATTTTTAATTGAGTCCTTAAATTATTCATCATTATTTGATTCAATTATCATCAATATATGTTAGTAAATAATAGATTTCTCAAAGGGCAATTGATTTGATAGTGTTACGTTGAAAATGTGGTCGCCGAAATGTGTGTTTGGTAGTGTATGTCTTATATTTAAGAAAAAATCGACAAATAACCGAAAAAATCAAAAAACCGACATAAACCGAATCGAGAAAAAGCCGACTTAATTGGTTTGGTTTGGTTCTAATATTTGAAAACCGACTTACTTGGTTTGGTTTCTTTTTAAGGAAAAACCGATCCAAGCCGAACCATGAACACCCCTACCTCTAAGCAGCTTTCATATTGTTAGGGAAATGTACATTTTTAGGTGAACTTATTAGAGAAATGTATATTTTTTGCCACTCCTAAAAATAATAGCGATAAAATATATATTTTTTTATATATGCATATTATACACACTTTTATACATAATTACTTTCGGTCGACCGACCAATTTGTATTTTGCCCAATTTATTATTTCATTTACATTACAAACCCTAATTTAAGGGGCATATTGCCTTATTTAAAGGTTATAACAATCAAGCAATAGAAAGGTTTCCCTCGAATATAGTACTTTAGCTTGAGAAAACAAAAAAAAAAAAAAAAAAAATTTACCTTGACAATACTGGTTACTTATACAATTCATGCTATCACACAGCTATACACTGGATCGTAATTACTAATAAAACTTATCGAGAATACAAGACTAAATTTTAAAAGACAAAAATCCNAAAAAAAAAAAAAAAAAAAAAAAAAAAAAAAAAAAAAAAAAATAGCATCAAGGCCCTCTTCAAGTCAACCCGGGGCATTTGCATCTATACCAACTTTTTGGGTCATGTTTTAACTTGTGCTCACTTTGCAAAAAAAAATTGCAAGCGTATCCACTTTTTCGCGTAACTTCAGCATACGGGGTTGAAGTAGCAAAGACAATCACGCAAAACTTCAGCATTCTAGTAGACGGGCCTGAAGTAGCAAGTATGCTGAACCAAGTGTGTTGAAGTTTTTGTTTGTAATTGCTGAACTTAAGCATAGTAGCTGAAGTTTTGTTCTCTATTTGCTGAAGTTTTGTGTGTAATTGCTGAACTTAAGCATAGTAACTGAAGTTTTGTTCTCTATTTGCTGAAATTTTTGTTTATAATTGCTGAACTTAAGCATAGTAGCTGAAGTTTTGTTCTCTATTTGCTGAAGTTTTTATTTGTAATTACACTAAATAAGCTTAATTTTTTTTGTCATGGATTCATTAGTTTTGTCATTAAGCTTTTTCAAAAACTTCAGTAGAAGATGCTGAAATTATTTAGTTCATTTATAAAAACTTCAGCACTAAATAAGCTGAAATTTTTTTGTCCTGGATAAGCTTTTTCAAAAACTTCAGCAGAAGATGTTGAAGTTATTTACTTCATTTGTAAAAACTTCAACACTAAATAAGCTGAAGTTTTTTTGTCCTGGATTCATTAGTTTTGTCATAAAGCTTTTTCAAAAACTTCAGCAGAAGATGCTGAAGTTATTTAGTTCATTTGTAAAAACTTCAGCACTATATAAGCTGAAGTTTTTGAAAAAGCTTTCTAACATACTAGATAAATAATCAGATTGCCAACAGTATCTAAATCATAAATTTTGGAAACAATAAACGTGAAAAGAACAGAATTATCATGAAAAGAATCACTAAGTGTGACCTTAAACTTTCCGTACGTGAAAATATTCACAAATTATTGTCTACTAACTTACGTAATTATTTATAATTTGTTTTTAAATAATCTGATAAACATACTTATGGCAACCATCCCATGAACTGAAGTTTCATAGCAGCACCAACAGCAGAAGAAGAAAGAAGAAGAAGAAGAAGAAGAAGAAGAAGAAGAAGAAGAAAACGAAGGAGGAGGAGAAAGAGGGATGAAGTTATTTAAAAAAGTGGGTACAAATTAAAACTTTAAAAAAAAAGGGTATAGGTTAAATAGTGGGACCAAATAGGACGCCCTGTACAATTTTTATAGTCAACCCCCATCCCTATATAAATCCTAAAAAAAATTAAAGAATTACTCATATCTTCACATTAGCTGTTTACATAAATTCAACAAATATAGATTAAACTAAGGGTGTCTAACGGGTGGGCCGGGCCGGGCTGGGTAGGAAAAAGTTGAAACCGTCCCGATTTCGAACCGGGCCGGTTACGTGTTAGGGGTTACCGGGCTTAACGTGTTCGGGTTCATTCGGGTAAAAAATGGAATGTAAGGGTTACGAGTTCAAGGGGCCAGGCCGGGTCGGGTTAGTGTTGTTTTTTTTTTTTTTTTTGTATTTTGTATAACTATTGTAATTTATATTAATATAAGTAAAAATATAAAGAATTCAATGAAGATGGAAAAAAAATTGCACTTATAAATTGCAAGTGCTATATTTATTTCAAAATTCATACTTACAAATTGAAAGGTTTACATTTAACAAGTAAATTAACGAAAAAAGAGTAAATTCAAAGGTTTTGCATTGCCTTAAACTCTAAAACCTTTAAAAAAATTTGAAATCTAGCCTTTAAACCGGTCCAGGCCGGGCCGGACCAGTTAACCGGTTCTACAGGAATTTTGGTTGATCGGGTTTGACCAGTCCGGTTAACCGGATGAATTAAAGTGAACGGACCAACCCCCTAACCCCTCCTCCTAAGTACCGGGCCGGGCCGGTCTGGGTTTCAACCAATCTGGGCCAGGGCGGTCCCGGGTCAACCCAGCCCGTTTGACACCTCTAGATTAAACTATATAGCCTATATACACCTATATTTAATTTACAGGAATTTTCGGTGCTAGTTACCCCCTAGATTCCACATAAGTAGGGTTGTTCACGGATTGATAGAAAACCGAACCAAACCGAAAAACGATTAAGTAAACCGATATTTTTCTTGATTTGGATTGGTTTTGGTTTTAAATTTTAAAAACCGATAATTTTTGGTTTGGTTTTGATTCTATTATAAAAAACCGAAAAAACCAAACCGAACCGATTAATTATATAAAAATATTAATAATTATTGATATATGATATAATATCTTTTCGTAAATAATTTTAAATACTTTATGCATTTTAATTATTATTTTGAATTTTGATTTATCCTACTTATATCTTAAAAGATTGTCTAAGCTCAAAAGAATAGGAATCGGCCAATTTTCTTTTCCTTAAGAGAATCTAATTCTCTAACCTACACACATACTTTTTCCTAATAAAAGAGTTAGGAAAAAAAAACCTACGACAAAATTAAAGAAAGCAAACTCAAATTGCAAGACTATAGTAGCTAAAGCTTGAGAAAGTAAACTTTTAGTTTTTTTTTTTTTTTTTTTTTTGTATAAACAGGTAAATAAATTTTCAGTTCCGAAATAAATATATAAAAAAGCATAAATTTAGCAAATTATTTTCAAATTGTTGTCTAGTGTTGTTTTACTATTATCAACTTATCATTAGCTTGCTAAGAACCGAAAAATCGAACCAAACCAACAACAACCAAACCGATGGTTTATATATAATTTGATTTGGTTTTGGTTTTAAAATTTTAAAAACCAATTAAATTGATTTGATTTTAGTTTTAATCAAAATCGGCCAAACTGAACCGTGAACACCCTGCGCATAAGTCCGCCTCTGCTTGTGAGAGGTGCCTTTTATAAACTTGTAAGTGTTAGAAGAAGAAAAAAATGAAATGGGACAAGTTTGAATAGTGACTTGAAGAAAAGGTGTTAAGAAGTCAACGCATAATTAGGTATTTCACCAGCAACTTCTCTCAAACTCAATTTTCTCTTTTGGGTCAAAGAATAAAGTTGTATAAGGGTGTAAAATAAAGAAGATATAGATAGATACATACTTAAATAAATAATTGCATTTGGTCATTCAGGTAAAATTGATCAACAACCGCTAGACTTGTACTATTGCCAAACCACACATATCTTTTACAAAGGGGTTGGCACGACTTCTACAACATTTTTCAGCCCCTTATTGGGCAAAATGAGGATTCTACGCAATATGTACATGAACGTGATGCATAAATTTCATTCCTTGAGAGTTTCTTTTTAGAAGAAGTTAACATCGATAGCGTAAAAAAAAGTCAACGTAGTTGTCCATTATCAGAAACCACCATTATGATCAGCAGGCGTGAAAATGTAGCTAGAACTATCAATCCAATCATTGTTGCAATCAACTAACTGTTCTGATGCATCTGTTAAAATTGCGTTCAGTTGATAGGATCGCAGCTGCTGATAAAGAACATTTGGATATTGATCCACCACTGTTTCTCCTGTTCATATCAGAATTCATTACTATATTATAGAAACCAACAAACTGTACTAAAATATAGAACATTGACTGTTATTATTAATTCCAAAAACTTGAGCTTTTCGAAAAGGAACTCTTTATATATACAATCTTTACCAAGTACAACTAAATTAAAAGCAANTATATATATAAAGTACCTTGAGTTAGCAGTGGCGGCCCATTCACCCGAGCATCAACTTCTTCTAAGGAACTCCAATTGGCATAAGCATACTTCACCAAATTCTGAATATTGGCCTAAAAATACCATGATATAGATATTATTATAACTATTTAAGTTAAAATATACAGTAGCTCAAAGTGAAAATTCGATCGATAATTCAATATGTTACCCTTTGTATTCCAGTTAAATCACGGGTAGGGCAAATCTGGCCATCAATGATTGCCCTAACAACTTGACATATTGGACTAAGAAATAGAGTGTAGTTTGCTCCACTGGCCACATATAACTTAGATCCCTTCTCACAACTATTTGCATGATTGTATGTCGCATCCCAAATTTTGTCTGACATTCCTCTTCCTAGTATCTGTGAAATCATAAATAATTAAGTTTCAGTTGATTTATAAAAAGATTCTTTTTCATACTATATAATTTAGATTTGTTTATCTCATTTTTTCAGTAGCACCTTAATCAATTAAAGGAATATTCTAGTGAAGAGGCTTACAGTTCTAAGCTTTGGTGTGTCAACAGTGGCCAACTTCAAGAAATCTTGTACAGTGTTGATTCCATTTGAAGACAGCTTCTTATGAAAAGTTCCATCTTTTCCAATCTTCTCAAGCCGCCACACTTCATCTCCTAGTGCTGGTGGGTAATGTTTCTTGTACACTGTAATATGTTACATATCAAATTTATGAGTTTAATTATAAAAAAAAATTACAACACTATTAAGTTACCTATATGATAACTACAAATAATAATCAGCAAAAACGAAACTAAAAACCCGAAAAATAAGACAGATTACATGTTACCTTGGAATAACGAACGAGTCATCGATGCATATTAGCTTTGACTACTAAAAAAGATTATATTGAAAAGAGAAATAGCTTACATTCTCCGCGGTGATCTTTAACCCTAAAAGATTCAGTAATGGCTTCTGTAATCTGAACAGTAGTTTGACTTGTTCCAATTTGAACCAATTTTGCACCAAGCCTAAATTTTCCGCTCCGAATCCAGCTCGAATTATCAGTAAATTCAATTTCTCCAACAGAAACGACGCCGTCACGCATAGTGAAATTGAGTTCACCGGCAAGCAATGGCCTCCTTCCGGTTCTCTCCTTAACGATGCTTTTGTTAAATTCTTCATGAGTCCAGCTGGTTTGATCATTTTGTTTTGAATTGAAATCTCCGTCGAGTATGACGATTTCAACTTTGATAGGATAAGGTAGAGCCGTCGGAACCAAGCCTTCGCCGCTTGTATCCACCAGCAGAATTTGGAGGTTGTGGCCGTCGCCGGCGACAATTTTGCTGCCGGTGAAAATTGTGGGAGAGAGTTTTTTATTGAAAGTCAGGCGAAGATTAGATGGTTCTAAAGCTTTGATTCTTAGTGAAGGAGATCTCGTTATGGTACGACATGAGTAACGCCTTAATCCACTTTCCACCTCTTCATGAACCTGTAAATTAATTTCACCAATTATCATGAGTAAAGTTTAATTACTTTAAGCTATGAGATTTGTCGCTAATTTTCAATATAATTTTTTGATAATCTATCATTAAATAAGGTTAGCAACAATTTTTTTTATTTAGCTACAAAACAGTTAATTTTTATTTTTTTAGTAGTAAAAGCTTGTGAAATTAAGTCGTACCACTCGACGGAGCATAGGTTCCAAGGCGGAAGAGACGTTGTCTAAGAATTTCACCATCACCACTTCTTTAATGACACTACAAAATAACCCAAAAAAGGATAAGTTAGATTTCAATCTTTGAGAAATATTAGAAAGAATTAAAAGTAGTGATCTATGATAAGGGAACATACGAAGCAAAAGAAGGTGTAGTTCTGATGCGTTTGTAATTTGGTTGGTTTGGGTCGGTATCGGAGTCATCAAAAAACCGTTTAGCAGCCATTTCTGTATTGAAGTGTGATAAGATGAAGATTTTTTCAGTATAAAGCAGTAGAAATATGGAGCTTAGAGAGATGACGAGGGATGGGATAAGTAGGTGGATATGAAGACTAGTTTATTTATATATAAAGTGGTAGGAGCCTTGATTTAAACTGAAAAGTGGAGAATAAATTAAAAGCATAGGGTTATTTGTAATATTAACGGTTTAATTGGGTAATTAGAGAAGCTTCGTGGAATGAAGAAAGAAACAGCTAGGCAAGAGAGGCTTATGCTCAGTGACCTAAGGCAGCCTGATGTAACGACTTTAACGTCAAGGCCATCTTCAAGTCAACCCCCATATAAATCCACACACACACACAAAAAAAAAAGAATGGCATCTTTATGTTAACACAAATTCAATAAATACATGAAACGTATGTTTTTTAGACAGATTCTGATTACTTAACCATAATTATTTAATTGCATATATTTTCAAATCAATTTGTCGCTAAATTAACTATTAATATAATGTAATTTAATTAAGCACTAAACGTGAATAAGTATTTGGTACAGGAAACAAAAATTATTCAAGACTGAGGCCCAGTCTAGCGAGATCGGAAGGGTTAGTGTTCTCGCAAGGAGGAATACTCAACTTGTTAGGTTAGCTTCATTCACGAGGAGAGAAAAACTGGTTATTTTCAATCTCTATCACTATTCGCTCAAGATAGAGAGTTCGATTTCAAATCAGTTAACTTTATTGACCTATAAATTGTTAGAATATACTATAAGCCATGCGTATTGTTATAGTATTTTTTATGAACAATTATTTATTTACTTGTTTAAATTCAATAAAGTTTCATTTTAAATAGATCATGTATTGGTTTGTGCGTCCATTGCTTACATAGTAGATGATTTAGTGTATAGAGTTAGCTTCGGTTCTTGTAAGACATAAAAGTTAATGTTCACAATCTAACGATGGAATTGGACAAATCATCGGAATGATTGTAGCACAAGATTAAATATAATTCATCTTGATTATGGGAATGGTTTAATTCCAACTTCTTGTGCTCGTTCATTTTGTATGTATTGAACGGATCAAGTAGAGATGAGTATTTTATACTGACTTTATAAAATAATTTCTCTAGTCCATTTAATGTACTTATACTCTTAATCCTGATATAATTATTATTAGCTGTGTATGTAACTTGTTGTTTTGATTTATTAAAAGGCGAGATTCTTTCGCGAGTCAATAAGCCTGGTAAATTGGATAACAATGATATACATTGGCGATGTAATAATTAGTTGATGGAATCCTTGTCTCGATTTTGAGATATGAAAGCTTATAAGTTTTCATGTGTAAACCCGGCCGGCGGATTTTGTATCCGACACATGAAATAAGTTAAGTGTAAGTCTAAAGGAAGTAATCAATAAATTAAATAGTCAGTAATTTAATTTGATTGATTAGTATCTGAATCTTAACATGGGGAGTTAAATAAGGTTTTATGGAAGAATTTCAAAATTGAACTAAGGAGTGCAATTACGAATTTTTAGTGGAATAATTCGTAATTTACTATGATAATTTCAGAATTTCGAAATTAATATCATAATAGGAAGCCTTGTTAATTAAATTCTGTGGTTCCTACTGTGCCTAAATAATAGAAAATAGTGGAAACTGTTACTTAGTGGGAAAAAAATGTGGAAACCGTCCCTTAGTGGGAGAAGGAAACCTAACAGGTTTTGAAAACGATTTTGACCTAAAACGCATCTATATATATGGATATAAGGGCCGGACGTTTTTGACAAGATTCTGACTGCGGTTTCTACTAGAATTTTGCCCACCCAAAATTCTCCAGTTTTTCCGGTTATTGTTTGGGTAACACAGTAGAAGACTGTGGAAATCTGCTGGTGTGTTTTCAACTGAGGAACTGGAAAACGACATAGATTTATTGTGTTTACGCTTCAAGAGGTAATCCTAAAATCTCCATACGTGCTAGTTGTTTAGATTACACGTGAATAAGATTTTGTTATTGATTCCGCTGTAGGTATATATTCCAACACAAATTTGCTATTATGCAATTCAACCCTTCCTCACAATTAACAATTGAGACAAAAGCAAAAAAAAACGTAGATCTGGACAAGAAACTAGTTATTAACGACATATAGGAGACAGTACTTATCATAGGCTATAAAATTTATTTAGGAGGTAGATAAAGGTACAAATATAATAAAAGTAGTACTAGTTTTGTCTATCTAACTAATATTCAAAATTTAAAGTTTATGAATTTTTATAGTAACTTCAAATTAATATTATAATAATAATTGAGCTTATCGTTAAATACTTTTAGATATTTAATTTTAAAATTTTTTATATGTACAACGTCCGGACAAATACTATAGATCCGCCCCGACCTACCCACCCCACAAAACACACAACACACTCAAGAGCCGACCACAAGATTGGGACAAGAGAAAGCCCAAAAACGCCACATATCCACACATAACGACCTTCCTTCCCAACCCCACACTGCAACCACACCCCACGGAAGCAGAGTTAACTTTTGTTAATTAATTGGATATATTTGACTATATGTGCCTAGTTACTAGAGTACTAGAGACTGAGACACTTTTGTTGATTATAATAAAAGAACGTTACATAGACTTACAAGAAAAAGGTGAATAGGATATGAAAATAGAGTGTTCAAACTGAACCGAAAAAATCACACTAAATTGAAAAATTAAATCAAATCGATTAAAAACTCCGACTAAGTTTGGTTTGACTTGGTTTGATATTGAGTAAAAAAATCCGAACCAAACCGACATATAAATATATAAATTTTATTTATATTTTTAAGACTTTATAGTGATTTTTCTTTAGAAAATGTAGAAATATTTGGGATCATCTCATGTATTAACCTTGAAAGCATAAATTAACGAAAAATTATTGTTAGACGACTAAGAAAATAACTATCATGTGTTACTAAAAAAATTCTCCCATTAGAATATTTTAATAGATCATATGTTTGCCAATTTTTTTCATATTTACTAAACATATATTTACTTATCAAAGCTTTATCTATAATTTTAACAAAGTAAGATTGAAATAGTATTCATATAACAAAAAAACACCGAAAAACCCGACAAAACCGAAACAATCCAAACCGATATAGTTGGTTTGGTTTGGTTTGATTTTGATAAAAACCGAACCAACCCGATCCATGTACACCAGAACCACGTGTGGATGTATATTTTACTTTTAATTATTCCTGAGTTTCTTGGAAAAAAGTATATTTTGTCCATTTGAAATAAATTTCATTTTTGCTGCTACGATTATATAGAGAAAATAATTTCATATGCCCACTTACAATTTAAAGGTAAGAAAATAATCTTACAATATAATGACTTATAGATATATTTTGTGTTAATTTTTTACTTATTACAAGCAAACTGTTGGATTTGGTTAAGAAAAAAAAAACAATATGAATAAGGAACAAGAAAGAACATTGATATAATTGTTGGTTGGGGGTTGGGAACTATTAAAAGATGATAAAGAAAATGATTGATTTAACGTTTATGTTAAGTTCCCAACTAAATTAATTAAAACAATAATACTTTCTTGCTGCTCAAGAAAGTGATTATATATACTACTCCATGTGATATGCATGTCATACCCATACTATCTGTATTTCCCCAAAACATTATACTCGTATCAATAGCTAAGGGCCCCGATCACAATTATATAATAACATGGGACCTGAGTGTATTAAAAAGATCCCAATTCCCAACATATATTTTTCTTTATAAAGAACAAAGAAAAACAAAAGGGAAATAATAAAAATTTTGATCCCTCTATTCTATATATGCTAATATTATGAACTTTAGTTTGTACTCCTCCCTATGTTCACTTTTGCTTGACATGTATTGTAAAAATAGATTTTCATTTTTACTTGTCACTTTACGCATATTAAGAGAAGACAATTTTTTTTCCTATTATACCCACAATATTTATTACTCATTTCAAATTATTTTCTCATATCCAATAAAATATGTGTTTATCTCGAAAATACGGTAACAATTAAACTTGATTTGTGGTTTTAAAGATACGTGATTTAGTTCAATACCAGTTAGTAATCAACAAATATGAAGTAGAAATGAAAGAAACAAGTGAATCAATCCAATGTTGCTCAACTGCGGTGACCTCGAGGTGGGCTTAGAACAATAAGAACAATTCTGATGAACAGTAGGCAAAAAGTAGAGAGTATATTCTTTGCTCATTGATTAGATTATCTTACAAATGATTGGGACCCCTTTATATAATAAGGAAACCCTAAATAAGGAATATTTCTATTTACAGTAAGGAATATTCTTAGTACAGCTATGTAACCGCCTAGTACGGAATCGTATAATCCTATTGCGAGATTTGCGCCATGATCTTGGGGACGTGGCAGGAATCTAGCTCATTCTGTTATAAATTCATAACAGTACTATTCTGGGGTCGAGCATACTCGATCTCGTTATGTATCGTGCTCTATCTTTGAGCTTGGGTCTGGTCCTTCGAGCTCGAACTCGACCTTGCCTGAGCTCGAGCTCAAGACGACCCCTCGAGCCTATAGATCGGAGGCATACGATTTCGAGCGTATACAGATAGTCTTTGCGTTTCTTAGAATAAGATGATAAAAACGACTTGAGTCTCGATCTCCTCGATGTCTCGATCATGATGCCAATCTCGTGATGTTAGCGTTTGAAGTGATTGAAAGGTCGTGTCTGCATGGCTTCCTAGGTCATTAATTAGAGGCGGCTGACGATCGTCCTTTTGGCTTCCCCAATACGCTTAAGTGACTTGTATAAATAGGCCAACTTCACAATTTTGCAAACTTTACTTCTCAATTCGTTCCCAAATCTTGTTAGCTCCTTCAACTTCCCTAAGACCACACTTCTCTCAACTTGTTCTTTACCTCATCATCAACCTTCTCTTCTTTACTTGAATCACAATGGCTAAAACATCCAAAACCGTTCCCCAACAAGAAAAAGCCTCTTTGTCATCACGGCCATCGAGAAGTAAACCGTTGGTGCCACCTCGCATCGAGGAGTGCATTCCCCCATCGTGAGAAATAATATTCGATTTCAAAATTGAAAAACCTGTA